GAGTGTTGTGTGTGTGTGTGTGTGTGTGTGTGATGTGTGCTTTGTGTGGTGCGTGCTTTTTGTGTGTTGTCGGTGTTGTGTGTGTGTGTATGTTATGTTTGTCTAGCGTGTGATGTGTTGGGCGTGATTTGTGTCTCTGTGTGTGCATGTAGTTCTGAAGCCCCAGGAGGCCCCAGGAGGCCCCAGGCGGCCTCAGCAGGCCCAGGAGAACTCCAGGAGGCTCCGAGGCGGGGTCTGGGGTACCAGAAGGTCCAGAAAGCCCCAGGAGGCCCCAGGAGGTTCCAGGAGGCCCCCAGGAGGCTCCGAGGAGGGGTCTGGGGCTCGATTTTGGGAGGATTTTTCATGCGAAACCGCCATTCTCTGAGAATCGGGGTCAAATTATTGAAATTACCATGTGTTTTTGAAGGTTTTATGTTAAAATGTTGAAATTCCCATGTGTTTTTGGACCCTGACGTCACGATCTGCGTGAGGGGTGCCACCGATTTTCAGAATTTCGAGGATGTCCCGAGCGAAACGGCCAGAAAAATCGCGAACGCGTGCGCATTAATCGCCTCTGAGCTCTACTCCCTCGGAGAGGTGCGTATGAATATATATATATATATATATATATATATATATATATATGTGTGTGTGTCCTCCCGCCGCTGGCGGTGACCTGTGGCTTCCCTGTTGGCCCATCGGCGGCTGCGTCACCGTGTCTCCTTGGACATGTCGCCAGGGTTCTCTTCCACTGCGCCTCTTCGCCGCATGCTCAGCATGCCTCGTCCTGTTTTTTTTGCCTGGGCGCCTGGGCTGTGGCGGCCCTAAGCGTTCTGCCATCTGTCGCTGTCCTCCCTTATTTGCCACTCGTCCTGGCCGTCGGCCGTACTGTGCACCCTCTTGCTCCTCGGGTTCGTTGTGCCTCCTGCACCCTCGCTGCTCATGCCCGGGTTTGCGCATGGCATGGTCGGTCCGATGGGATCTTTGCCCTTCTCTTCTGAGGGGCCGGCCGCGCGCGCGAGCGCTTTCCGCTTGGGCACTTTTCTTGACGCTGCTCGCGAGGCCGGGACCGCCAAAGTGTGTGTGTGTGTGTCTGTCATTTCCCCCATCACAGGGCGCCCCGTTAACTAGCGGCTGTGCTCTCGGTTGGCGCTCCTCGCTAGGCCTGCCACCCCCGTCTCCGCTCGTCCGGTCGCCCCCCCAGCTGCTACCCCGTTGCCTGTGCCCTAGAGGCGGGGCCGTGCAGCGCCGGCGCTCGACGTACGCCTGACTTGGGCTGAGGGTCATCCCCACCGCCTGGATGGACTCTTGGCTGCTCCCCCTTTTGGGTGGCCATGGTTGACCCCCTTCAGGTGCGGCCCGCGCCGGCGCCCTGCCTGAACGGTGCCGGTGCCAGGGCTGGGGCGTCGGCGCTGCGGCCGTCCAACCCCAGGGACGAGACCGGGCATGGCATAGCCAGGAAATTTTGCTTGGCTGCTCGGATTCAAGGGGATGACGTCGCTCCAGCACCCACTCGTGCGGGATTTCCGTGTAATCGCGGCAAAGAAGAGGCTCGCTCACAGAAGCCCCCCCCCCAGCGCTCCCCCGCGGGTCCGCCCCCGAGGAAGAGTCGACAGCCCAGCGCCCCAGCGACAGCGCCCCGCACGCGGAGCGATCCAGAGTGCCGCCCCCCCAGCGCCTCCGAGGCCAGACCCGGAGCGGCGTGCCTCCAGCCAATCCCCCACCTCCTCGGGGCGTGGACCGGCGCCAGTCCGCGGCAGAGCCAGGGATGTGCGTGCGGAGTCGTCTCATGCCCCCCCTGAGGCTGGGCGGGGCAGGGCAGGGAGGCGCTGCAGCCCCCGCTCAGCCTCTCGCGAGCCCTTCCGCAAATTCTTGCGACTGGAGTGAAGGGGCTGCTCTCCCGGCCAGTCTGGCCAGCGGGCGTTCTTGGAGACGGCGCAGCCCTGGCAACTCCTCTCAGCCAACGGTCAGCGTGCCCACCTCCTCCAGCCCCGCGCGGAGGCCCCACTGGCCGATCAGCACAATTCCAACGCTTCGCAGGCCGCAGAAGCAGAATCAGTGCGCAAAACCCCCAGGGACAGCGAACAGTGCTTTTTTTGGGGGGGAGGGGTGCACTCATGGCCGAGCCAGTTCAGAGGCGCCAGGCCTCGGCCACTTTAGTGGCCCGAAAACCAAAACCAGCTCGGGGGAGATATGCGAGGCCGCAGGATCGCCTCCTCAGGCGAGGAGGCCACCCCGTGGCCTATCAGCTCAAACCCCTCAACATTTGTCCGATCCCGAACCCTCGAGGGAGGACTGGAGAGCCGTGATCAACCGCCTCAAGAACTAATGTGGTTCCATGTTGGCCATCGGGTGGAATGCCATCTGCGACCGGAGCTTGACGTCCCCGCCCTTGCAGTGGCCACCTTGGCCGTTGCCCGCCTCTCCTTGCCTTCGTGGCTATCCTCCATCGTGCACTATTCGGTGCCCCCCTGCGCAGGCCCCCGGCCTTCGCTCGGGGCCGCCTCTGCAGCCGCTTATCATCGTGCACCTGTTCGGCGCCCCCCCCCCGCAGGTCTCCAGCTCTCGCTCGGGGCCTGCCTCCTCCCGCAGCTGCCGGCGTCGCCACCGTGCCGGGTGGCGCTCTCGCGCCCGCGCGTGAGTGTCCCTGTGGCTGTCGGCGCTTGGCCGGTGCCCACCGCCGCCGCCCGATTTGGGTGGGCCTTGTCACAGCGGGCTGGTTTTGCCGCCTGCTCGTGGCCTCCGGGCTGCCCCTCTCTGCCTACATGGGGGGTTGCCCTGCCCCGCCGCCGCCCCCCGCCACTTGGGGCGCCAGCCTCCAGCAGGTTTTGTCCAGGCGCTGCCTGTGGCACCCCGCTGGCCCTAGCCGTGCTTCGCCGGCCAGGCGACACTCGCTACTTTGCCTGTGTCCCCCCCAGCTGCTTGGTTTTCTGGCCACCTCTCCAGCGCTGGCTACCGGCGTCTGGCCGCTGTTGCTCCCGTGGCACCTCGCCGCTGTCGGTTACTGCCCAGTTGGCCCGTTGCCTCGGGGCCCACCTTGTTCGCCCCACCTGGCCCGCCGCTCCCCCACTGGTCGTGGCCTTCCCGCGGTCCTCGGCCCCGGCTGGCGTTCGCCGCCTCTTGCCGTCGCCCTTCTCCACGCCTTCGTCCTGCCTGCGCCCTGGGCCCGCCACTCCCCCACTTGGCGTGGCCCTGTTCCTTCTTTGCCCTGGCCTGCCGCGCCGTTGCGCATCGCCAGGCTGTCCCTCTCTTCCGCGCCTGCTCCTCGTCTGTCCTCCTGGTCTCGGCGCTCCCCGCCGTTGCTGACGTCGAGGTGCTCTCCCGTCGGCTCGGGTCGAGACTCTGCGTCGCTCGTCCTGCTTCTCCTACCGCCGCCCTTCCGCGGGCTGCCTGCTGCCGCTTCTGCTCTGTGCCGTTCAGTGCTGCGCGGTGCCGTCGCTTGCCACCCACCCCTCCCTGCCCGCGCCTCACAGGCCCGCAGGTCTCGGCGCTGCGCCTCACCTTGGACCGTGCCTTGGTTCACTGGGTTGGGCTCTGCATTCTTGTGCTTCTGCATCCTCAGCTGCTGCTCGGTGTCTTTCAGCACGGGCTTCAGCCCTGTTCAGCTCCGTGCTGTTCAGTACCGGCGCTGGTTCCCACTTGCGGCGCTCCCCCCCGCCGCAGTCGGCTGCCCATTCGTGCCTTCCGCCCCCCTCCTCTCCGCACACGCCTCGTAGGCCTGCAGGTCTCGGCGCACTGGTGCACCCTGGACTGTGCTCGGTTCACTGGGTCGGGCTCCGCTTCGTTGTGTCTTCCACGACCAGCTGCAGCTTCGTGCTGCCCCCCCCCAGCTTCAGCTCCCCCCCTCGGTGCTCCCCCCGCCGCCGCCGGCAGCTCTGAATGGCCCGGCTTCCTCTCTTCCTGTCGCGCCGGGACTCCTCTTCCCCCTTCCGTGCATCGCGGCCTTAATTTGCATACATCGTATCCCTTGTTGCCATTCCGCCGGAGCAGTCGCCCTTTGCCCAGCCGCTGACGCAACAGGTGTGTGTGTGTGTGTTTGTGTGTATATGTTTGTGTTTTTGTTTTTGTTTTTGTTGTTGTCGTTGTTGTTGTTGTTGTTGTTGTTGTTGTTGTTGTTGTTGTTGTTGTTGTTGTTGTTGTTGTGGTTGTGGTTGTGGTTGTGGTTGTTGTTGTTGTTATTGCTGCTGCTGCTGCTGCTGCTGCTGTTGTTGTTGTTGTTGTTGTTGTTGTTGTTGTTGTTGTTGTTGTTGTTGTTGTTGTGTTGTGTGTAAGTGTAAGTGTAAGTGTAAGTGTAAGTGAAAGTGAAAGTGTAAGTGTAAGTGTAAGTGTAAGTGTAAGTGTAAGTGTAAGTGTAAGTGTAAGTGTAAGTGTAAGTGTAAGTGTAAGTGTAAGTGTAAGTGTAAGTGTGTGTGTGTGTGCGTGAGTGTTTATGTGTGCTCGCCTTCCTCGCGGCCTGCGCGATGTTGTTCCCGTCGCCTGTAAGCTGGAAACAGCCCCAGGCCTCCAGGCCCGTGCCGCCTTGCTGGTTCCAGCTTCGCCGGTCGCTGGCCTTCCACTCCACTCTCCCCGTTCGGCTGCTCCCGCGTCGCCTGTCCACGCAGCCCATTTCAACAGTGGGCGGCGCAGCGCAAACATGCAAGCCTTCGCGTCCGTCCCCCACCCGACGTCAGAGCACTTGAGGGGCCCTGCGCAGAAGCTCTGGGATCCTATTCTTCTGCGGCGAGCGAGGGGGGGAAGTAAAAAGGAAACGGCCGTCTCAGAAGGCGGCGGGGCTTCTCAGAAGGCCAGAGGACTTCCGAGCCTTCTGAGAAGGTCCGCCCCTTATCACCTACCCCCTGGGCTCGCCGCCAAATCCTGGTTTCCCACCTCAGCCTTGACCTCCTCCTTCCCCCTCCCCCACCTGCCTGGGCTTTGGGTGATGCCCAGACTGAGTGTCACAGCGCTCTGTGCATCGGAGTGCTCTCCTGCCACCGAGGCGGAGCGGCGGGGCCTGCTTTGCAGAACGGCTGCCCCTTCCCCAGGCATGTGAAGAAGGCGTCAAGATCCTCATCATGTGCGACTGCTGCCACTCGGGGACCATTGGCGACTTCAAGGCTCATCCGTGCTCCTTGGGGCAGCGGAGGGGGGGCGAACCACGTGGCAGCGCGGTATGTGGAGAAACGGCGGACGAGGAGAGGGGGGCAGCGGTTGGAGGTTGGGGGGGAAGTAGGAGAAAGAGGGGGATGACGCGGAGTAGGCGGATGAGCGGCGCGGGTGAGGGAGGTGGGTCAGGCGAAGTAGATGGTAACAGCGGAAATTGAATAGTCGGAGGAGGAGGAGGAGTATCAGGCCGAGGACTCGGATCTTTTTTCGATTATGATTTGGCCCAGAATTTAAAGGTGGTCGTGGGCCTGGAATTCGACGTGTGCAAATTCTTCATTTTATATTTTTACAAGCTTGGGGGGTGGAAAAAACCCTTCCCACCCATAGAAAACAAACGGGACACCCAGGATCGGGGGTTTCGGGACCCCCAGACATCCTTGCCAAAAGTCCCTCCCCAGGCTCGTCCCGGACCTCCCAGGGCGCTTAGCCGGGTTCCTGCCAGCAGGCCCCAAGCGGTCAGAGTGGTGATCAGAGAGGCCTAAGAAAGACCCAAGACAGCGCAAGAGCGCTCCAAGGACCCAGCGGGCCTTCAGAGGCCCCCAAGACGGCCCAGGAGGCCCTCAACAGGATTCCCCGAACGTTTACATCGCTTCATTCCCTTAGGGGAACGTGCGTTTTCAGCACATTCGCTGTTCGGGTCTTAGCAGCGTCCAAAACAGCCAAACATTCCTCCAGTATCGCCCCAAGACTGCCAAAGAGACCCCCAAGAGAGCCTCTGGACGGCCTGGACGGCCCCAAGACTGCCCAAGGAAACCCCAAATTCACCAAAATGCAGCCCAACAGGCCTTCACAAGGCCCACAATAGAAGCCCCCAACAGCCATGGGAGGCCACCCGAAAAGGCCATGGGAGGCCAACAGGAGGGCCTACGTAGCTCCCGTACGGTCCCTAGAGTGCCCAAGCCCCCCAACACGGCCCAAGATGGCCCCAAGACGGCTCTAGGCGGCCCCAAGCGGGCCCACCAGGGCTCCAACAAGGCCCACACGGCGTTTTCGACCAAACTGACCCGAATCCCGAGTTCGCAAGCACAAATCCCAGAAATCTGTTACGAACCCGGGGTTGGGTGCAATCCCCAAGAATTACTTGCGTTCGTGTGCCCCGTTGCGACCCGCTGCAACCCGCTGCAACATTCTTCGCTGCCGACGGCGCCCTCCTCCTCTTTCTCCTCCTCCTCCTCTTCTTTCTGCCGCTCCACCACTCGTCCTCCCCCACATCCGCTTCCTTTCCTCGCACCTCGAGAGTCCCTCCCTCCTATCCTTCGCCCTCCACCCTGCGCCTTTCGTGAGTCCCCAGAGGCCCAGGAAGGGCCAGGGGCCGCTCGAACTTTCGAAGATCTCGGACAACCACAGCAGGGAAGGGGCCTAATTTCCAATGCCACTAGGGATGGCGCGAACGACCAGCATATGCAAACCAGAACGCGTCAAAGTAGGGGAAGGGGGCGACGAGAGGGCCCGAGAGACGTCCAAGAGGGCGCCAAGATGGCCCAAGAGCGCTCCAAGAGAGCCCAAGACCGTACAAGAGCGCTTCTAAATTGGTCCAACATGGCTTCAAGACAGTCCAAGAGGGCTACCAGACGGCCAAGATGCTCTCACAAGGACTCCCACGAGGCACTCAGGAGGCGAAACAAGTAGTTGTTTTCTAATGATTTTTGAAGGTTTTTCGTGTTCTCCTTGTTTCGTGCTTCCGACGGTCCAATACAGCCCACGAGACCCCAGAAGTCAGCTCAAGACGGGCCCAAGTGGCACCCAAAGAGGGCGCCACAGAGTCCCAAGACGGCCCAAGAGTGCTCCAAGACGGCCCAAGATCGCCCAAGCGGGCCCCAAGACAGCCCCTCCGTAGCCATTTTGGCTCAAGCAATTTTGGTTCGAGCCATTCTTGTTCGAGCAGCGCGATGCCCGCGGCGGCCAGATGGCCACGCGGATTGACTCCCAAGAACTCCTTCTTGGATTGCCCATCGCCCTGGACCGACAACGTGACCGTCGTCGAGCGCTCCAAGTCGGACCCCACCTTTGACCGCCCATCGTTCCCTGCGTCGGATTGGTCACCCAGCAAAGATATCCACTGCCCGAATGGGGAAGGCTGTCGGGCGGCGGAGGAGGGCGCCAGGCAGCAGTCGGACAAGGATGGGGACAGCAGCTCTCCGAGCTCGGGCTCGCGCATTGCCAGAAAACATCAGGCGAACAGCAGGTCGCAGCGGCGTCGCATGCAGCGTACCGCCAAGAAGAAATATTCGACAATCTCACCTGATCTGAGGGCAACGGCTGCAGACCTGTCGCCTCGGAACGAAGTGCAATGGCGCGCCGCTGTCACAAGATGGTAACAATATGTGGTTTGGTTGTTTCCTCCTCTCCTTCCTTCGCTCCCTCCTCCCTCTCTCCGTCCCCTCCCTCTACGCGGATTGCCGGCAGGTCAACGCATCGACTCACATTCGGGTCTGCCACCGAGCCGCTTGCAGCGCAATCCATTATCTCGGCTATTTTTGCCTGTGCCTAGATACGCCGTTACCTGCCGCAGTTTTCTTGCCAATGCGCCGTCTGTCTGTCTGTGTGCTCTCGCCTCGGAGCCCAATGGCACAACAGGTGTAGATGAGCCGCGGCGACAAAGCAAAGCTGCCTGTCGAGGGACAGGCGCTCCCCCCGTCACCTCCCCGGCCGCGTCGGCGGCTCGGCTCGGCACGTGTCGTGGGTGTGGGGTGGCTCGCTCGCGTGCCTCTCCCGCGGTCGTTGCGTTGGATTCGTCTCGACGCCCTCGTCGTGCCCTGAAAATGGCTGTGGTTGACGTTTCAACGAATACTGTCCGCCGCAACGTGCAAACTCGGTGCAGCCCCGTGCCCCGATCATAAAGCATCTCCCCTTTTTTCCAAGCCGGAGAGTCGATCATCCGAGTTCAAGACGGAGCTGGTCGGGGGAGATGGGGCGGCGAGGCCGAACTGCATTCTTGCCGGGCAAGGATGAATCGAAGAAAACAGTACTATCCCCCAGGAACTCCGAGCTTTATTATCCCCACGGGATTAACATCGCGTGCGCAGGGCTATCCCGTTTGTAGCCGCAGAGGCTTTTTTCGATGCGAGCATTGGTTCGCGACACATTTGCTTGGTACCCAAGAGGCCCCAAGAAGCCTCCAACATGCGTCCCAAGAGGGCCCCTAGACGCAAAAATTGGCCCATTCCCTTCGTAAAACGTACATTTTCAACAAAGTTGTCTTTTGGGCTTTCCGACGTTACAGGACGGCCCAAGAGGCGCCCAAGACCGCCCCAAGACGGCCCAAGAAGCTTCCAAGAGGGCCCCAGGACAGCCCAAGAGGGCCCCAAGACGGCCCAAGAGGCGCCCAAGATGGCCCAAGAGGGCCCCAAGACGGGCCCAAGAGGGGGCCCAGAGGGGGACCACGAACCGCAAGCTCGAGCCTTCCGCCCCAAGAGGCCGCCAGGAGGCCCCAAGGAGGCCCCTCAAGAGGCCCCAGGAGACCCCCAAGAGGCCCAAAGGAGGCCCCGAGAAGCCCCAAATCGGCCCCCAAAATGCTTCGAACCTGCTTCCAGGAGGCCCCCGACAGGTTCAGAGGCTCCCGAGAAGCTACGTCAAACTCCCAGCGAGCGGCCGGACGAGGCCCCCCAAAAAATCCCAAGAGGGTTCCAGTATTTGTATCCTTCAGCGCTCTCTGGCCTTCTTCCCCCTGCCCCCTTCCCTGCGACTTTCGTTGACTCAAGCTCGCCTCCTCTCCATTTCCTCTCTCTGCCTCTCTCTCTCTCTGTCTTCTTCTCTCTCTCTCTATCCATCTCTCTCTCTCTCTCTCCTTCGCTCTCTGTCTGTCTGTCTCTCTCTCTCTCTCTCTCTCTCTCTCTCTCTCTTTCTCTTTCTTCCTTTCAGATTCCGTGTCCTTGCGACCTTCTGCAGTCCCCGACGTCGCCACGGCTGGATCCGCTCGAGCGTGTCTTGTGATGTGCGGCGGTGCGAAGCCCGTCCCACTGATCAAGGCACAGGTACGAAATGATGGGTCCATCATTTCTTGCCTTCCCATGTGCGTTTTCCCAATCGATTCCTGGGCCCGAGGTCGCAAAAATTACGACGTCGGAGGTCTGGGGAGGCGGGAAGCACGACCTGGACCTCCGACGTCTTGGAAAAATCACGACGGCGGTTTCGGTCAATTTTCGGCCTCCGGGGCCCCTCGCAGGGTCCCGGGACCGTCAGAAAACGACTCAGGATGAAAAAAAAAACATCCCCAGGAAGTCGTCGAGAGGTCCAGGGGCCGCGCACAGAAAGCATCACGACATCGGACGTCCAGAGAGGAGGTAGGAACACGAGGAGGAGGGAGCCCAGACCTCCTGGCGACGCAACACCAAAGACAACAAAAGCTTCCCCGCGACTTCCCCCAGAGACTCTAACTACAGAAACTCCTTTCGTATTCCGGCCAGAAGCATCCAGAAACGATGTACATTAGCCCTGGCGGGGGGAATGATGGCGATGGTGATGTTCATGATGACGACGGTGACGATCCTAGCTAGAACCTAAGCGCGCGCGAAGCGCGCGCGTGGTTCTAGTATATATATATGTATATATATATATAGATATAGATATCAGTGCTGGGGTACCAGGGGCCCTGGCCAAGGCCCAGACACCCTCCCGGATCCCCCCCCCTGGCCCACGTCATTGTTGACCCCGTGCGTGCCCTCCTGGGCCTCCTTGGCCTTTTCCCCGCCGCCCAAACAGCTCCAGAGGCTAGAAGCGACCAGAGCGGACTGACAAGGCCGCAGACGCGCGAATAAGACGGCTCAAGAGGCCACGAAAACGTCCCACGAAGACTCCAAGATGCGCCCTGGGAGGGCCCCTGCGGGAGGCCAAATTGTCTTCGCTCAGGGCGCGGGTCTCTCTTCATACACTGCGCGCCGCGGGGCAATGCGGAAAGATGGCTGCTGCGGAGCACGCGTGCACGGGTGCGCTGGACTCCTTGTGAGGCACG